ACTCGTTGGGTTTCCTCCCGTGAGCGCAGTGAGCAAGATGAATTTTAACTGACTGTATAGGAAAAACGTATCTTTTTCAAAACCATTTCTTGTTGTTTTTTTACCTGATTTTCTCATGATGAACCATTGCCTCAGAACAGTTTCTATCAACATATTCAGTTGGTATGTATAAATGCTGTTTAAAATGAGGTATATCCCATTTACTGGAGAGAATGTTGTATTGAAAAACATAACTGAACTATAATAGTGCATATGAAGGGGAAAAAAATTAAAACTGTGTCACAACTCAAAATACTTGTTTGTTTCCTTAAAACTTACAAACGTGTATGTTTGAATGGTGGCTAGACTGACTGAGTGATTAGTAATGGTATTTTTAATATTATGACAAATCCAGGCATTAGTGCTGAATAGGCACTATGGCCTGCAGAGCCACTGAAGTCCGAAACCTGAATGTCTGCCTGGAAGCCTAAGCAATGAGAGATGAAGCAGTTTTCTGGGAATACCTCACAGATTCTTCAGAGTTGAATTTGGGAATTGTAAGGATAACTTAATTTTGTAGCTCAGCACAGGGTCCTACATTTTTTCAGAAATGAGAACTTAAACTTGATAGTTCTCATGTTTTATACTGGTTTCTAACTAGTTACCAAAACCTGACTTCATAGCCTTGATGAAGTTGCTCAAACTTAGATTTGGGGAGAGATTTGGTTGTTGCATTGTAGCATGTTGCTGCTAGGTGCCTAAACTCTGGAATTTAGTGGCTTATTTTCACAAGCACTGCTCAGAATTGAGGAACTCTTCCCAGAATGTGCAAGGATTTAAATTAATTTTGGGGTCTAAGCACGTAACAGCAAAGTTAGGTGTTAGGCACCTTTCGTCATTTGGGTAAGATGTCTTTCTTCCCTTGGGATTTGCAGCATAAGATTCCCCTTGAAAGTAAGAGCCTAATCTTGTCCCATGGCAGCAAGATGCTCTGACCACAAGTTGATGCCCTTTACTTTTATTGAAGATGGGTTACTGTGCAGAAAATAATGAAGATTTGCTGAGCTAGTGAGAGGAAGTCAGTCTCAGTTTCATCACTGCTTTTTTTCTCTTTTATCCAGCAACTACAACTGTCTGACATTTTTTTTCCATAGTGCACTCATAGCTTTGTTTGCCCTGGCCTATCGTATGTTGTAAAGCAGACTGGGAGGCACCACTGCGTTTTGTATAGAGAGAGGTATAGGACAGTGCTGAGCAGTTCTGCCTTGCTACAATAGGTGCCTGCTATTTTCTAACTTTCTTGTAAGATTTAATCATCTAGATTGCAGGTTCCTAAATACGATGTTTACTATTGCTAAGCCACATTTGGAAAACAAACAAACCAACCCAGCAGGTATTCAGTTGTCTTTCAAGTAGAGCCAGGAGGTTTAAGTAGCAACTACACTGCATTTTAAGTATTGCTGCTTTAGATTCAGATATTTGAATTCTATCTTAGTCTTTGAACAATAGGCTTCCTTGCTTCACTGTGCTGTTAGGATTTTTATCGTGTGTGTCGTCCTGTCCCGTCCCCCCCCGCCGCTGTGTTGTGAGAGAACACATTTGCTGCAACAGTAAGGATACGTGATAGCTGGTGACAATGACACTGTTTTGGATTTTCTTTGTGCTGTTTTCATTTGCTATAAAAGGGGTTTTGCCTCCCGGTCACAGGAAATTTTCCAGGGCTGGTCAAAATTCTGTCAACTCAAACTGTTTCCACCAAACACAAAACCACAATCTTGTTTACTTAGGCAGTTTAGATTGTAAAGCCATGTCATGAATGCAGGAAACTACATACAACTGAAAGTGGAAGATCTTCTAGTCTTTGTTTTCATTTAATACAACTTCTACTGGAAAGATGTAAAATGAAAATCTTAATAGCATAATAGCTTTTCCAAGCTGAACAGGTATGTATGTGTTGACTGTACCTGGCAAGGTGTTTTATTTCCAGCTGCAGAGGACTGTATTTCATGTTTCAGTACTGTTGTATCAAATAACTTACACCAGATAATTGTACCATAGCACTGATACTTGCTGTTGTGTTTATATTTTACCAATTAAAATACTGCACTTAAATGAAGTATGGATTCTGATTCACTCAGAAATAGCATACCACAACTTCTAAGCCAAATCCTAGCTGAAGAATTCTGAGTTACACTAGGAGTGGGTGGATATAAGGTCTTTAACAGCAACCGAATTGTGCATTTCAAGCTGCTTGTCTCTATTGTGTTGTGGTTTTTGAATATGCTTTTAAAGGAGCTATAATTTAGAATTTGGCAAGAAGTGGAAGAACATGGAGGAGGGAAGTGTGTAAAGTGGGTACGCAGCTAGAGTATTGGGGCGCAGGGTTAATGCAGTTTGTGTATACAAAAGTATAAACTAGATGTGGACAAAGCCCCTATCATTTATGATTACTTCTCGATCTTTGAGAAAATAGGACTTGCATCTAGACTAAATCCAGCTTACTTTGCAGAAATTAGTAGAAGGAAAAAAAGCTGAAATCATTTTCTTAAACTAGAATGTAAGTAAATAAAATGAAATTGCACAAAATTATGGACTGCACAATTTTGACCTCAGCATACACTTCTGTGTAACATACAATAGGTAAAAGTGTTGTTGGAGGAGCTCTTTAAATTTTTTTAACTTAAATTTCTTTTGTTAAGTTCTAAAGTTTTAAATCCAAGATAATTCCTGAGGAGTCTGTTGCTTATTACAGATACTAACAGATACAGACACTGCGGAGGGAAACATTGCCACAAAGGCTGAGGAGAAGGCTGAGGTACTTAATGCCTTCTTTGCCTCAGTCTTTAATAGTCAGACTGGTCATCCTTGGGGTTCTCAGGCCCCTGAGATGGGAACTGAAGCCCCAATAATCAAAGAGGTAACAGCGACCTGCTCCTCCACCTGGATGCCCACAAGTCTGGGGCCAGATGGGATCCACCCGAGGATATTGAGGGAACTGGTGGAGGAGCTCGCCAAGCCACTTTCCATCATTTACCAGCAGCATTTACCAGCAGTGCTGGTTAACTGGGGAGGTCCCAGCTGACTGGAAATTAGCAAATGTGATGCCCATCTACCAGAAGGGTCGGAAGGAGGATGTGGGAAACTACAGGCCTGTCAGCCTGACCTCAGTGCCGGG